AGAGAGAATATATATATATATACACATACATACACACACTACAGTATGTTCAAGTATACAAACAAGTGTGTATATATATACATATATATATACACACATGCATACATACATACATACATACATACATACACGCGTATGCGTACATGTACATATTACGTATGTAACATGCATATATATATATAAACACAGACACACACACACATGTTTTGTTAGATAGTTGTTTGTATATACCTGGATCGCCGCTGTTGACGATAAAAGTTGGGACTAATCACTGGTGGCGGGTTTTCCTGCGGTGGCGAAAAGTGGGGTTGTTCAATCATACAGAATGCCTCTTTTTGGCGGTCACCAGCATCGTGCAAGCTCCACTTTGTACAAGTAAAGAGTTCGCTCGGGAACTTTGTTTGCTTTAACCGAACGACCCAAAGTCGCGATGCGGTTGATGAAGTCTTCAGCCATCTGGCACGAATGCGAAATCGGATTCAATGCCTGGCGGTTGGACTCTGTGGCAAACTTCAGATCCAGAAGCACGTGCAGCAGCATGTGGTACTTCGGATTGAGCTTAAAGCGGGGTAAATGTCGCCCATATGCCAAGGTTGCAATTTTGGCATAAAGTTGCACCATGGTTCTACCACACCGAAAAATTTTTGCCAGTCGTGGCAGCTCAAGGAAAAGGCCTGCCTTGTACAGCATGCTCAAGAAGCTATCAAAAGCCTTGAGGCAAGCAAGGATCTGCTCGAAGTACAATCGAACCTCAGAATCCTGAAAGTCATGCTCCTCCAGCACATTCTGGAATTTGAAGATGAGAAACTTCATCACGAAGGTTGTGTCAGCACCTTTGAACCAGGCCCTGAGTCACAGGGTGTAAGAAACACAAGCCCTTTACATTGTGATTGGATAACATACACACGAAAAAAAAGACTGCAGAAATATACGATTCAACAGCGAGGCACCCGTACGGGAAATCGGCAGAACTTGAGATGGCCAGGAGCCCTTTTGTCAAAGCATTCATGTGCAAGTAAAGCTTGTTTTTCTTTTCGAAGACCTTCATTTCATCGTACAGGTGGCTCAGATTCTTGTCGATGCCGGTGGCCGCTGCACCAGTGACACCAAAATCCCATAGAGTAACCTCGGATGCTCATGAGAAAATCAAGCTCATGATTGAACAACCTCGGTTGTGGAATCCCTTGGAGGGCTCTAGTGTTTAGTGCGGGTTGTCTAAAGAATCATATTTATAACATACTTTAGGGTTTAAAGTATTAGAAGGGTTTCTATGGTTTCGTTGGGCTTTATAGGGTTTTCGAAACCATAATTACTATGCAGGATAAGCTCCAGAGCTGACCCAGCGAGATCGGCAGCGACTCCTTTGTGTAGAGTATGGAATAAATCTATGTAGTAGAAGTTTCGCTTCTGGTTGGCAGCCATGGGTATCAGAGACGTGAGTCCTGACTCCAACCGTCGCTTCCAAGGATCTATCGTCTCAGCCATGCTTCGGACCCACGGTGCATTGTTCAAATCACAGTCGTGCCAAGTAGGACAGCCTTCTGTATTAGCCATACAAAGATGGCAGATACCAACTCCAAAGGGGCTTGATTCTCGACGAAAATGCCTCGATAAACGTCCTAATTTATCTAAGGCAGGCCAGTCGCCTTTTAAACCCAGGGTCACGACTCGCCATGTGCGTGCCGTGCCGCCTCTGCGAACCTCGAGGCCAGTAGTAAAGCATTTGGCCAAATCCTCGGCCCAAGCACTCACCAGCTTGTGAAGTGGTGTGGAGTCCTTGAGGTATGTGGTTCTCGGCATAACAGAATAGAGCTGCCTTGTAACAATGCTGTTTCCCCGGAAGTTCATTCGTAGCGGCTCTGCGGCTGTTCGTTCATCCTCTGCTTCGCAACCACTGCCCAGCACAGGTTCTGAGCCCAACACAAACACAGCAGACTTCTTGTAACCTCGCCCCTCATCCCCGATCAAGTATATAGGTATGGTGAAAGCCCGGTCTTCTGCAGATAGCTTGTACACTGGATGATGAGGTTTAAGAGGTTGCATCTTGTCCCAAAAAGAACGAAGGTCGGCACCTGCTGTCAAGATTTCCATTTTGTCCATATCAGCCAATGTAGCCAAGAAATCGGAAAACATGATGCATGGATGACCTTGTTTCAAGCCCACATCGACTAAAGTAATTGGCAGAGAGGCGTGAACTTCTGGTGTGGTTTCCACAGCTTTCCTGGCAACTTTCGCTGCATGGCCCGTAGTAAACCCTCGAGACATCTGGCGTAGAAGAGTTGAGGATTCCAACATATCAACAGCCTCGTGACCAAATGCCCCCTCCACCTCCAATAGAACAGCTTGTGCCAGCTCTGTAGCCAACTCATGAGACACCTAGGTTTATGAGGGTGATGCCATGTCAAAGTTATTAATTAATGTAGAATACATTCAAGTGAAACAGTATCTGCTATCGGTCATACTCAGTTATAAACATTCATGAGTAAGAAACATCGATCGCCCAGGCACTCCTTTCGTAATGGCTTTAGCCAAAGTCGATGCTAGGGGACCAGCAGAGCTCTTAGAGGAAGCCTTCGAGATGTTGCTGTCCAGAGATCTTGTCGACAAAGTACCTGCGGGAATTGTATTTAAATCATGTCAGACAGAACAGATCACTCAAAAAATCGATACTGATGAGACTTTTTCTTCGGTTCTGTTCCTCCCCGTAGCATGTTCAGCGAACATGTATCGTGCGGGACCGGGGTCGAAGTCACAACCTTAATAGGCTAGCTAGGATAACAAGGTAAGTAAGGTGTTCTATGCATATGAAGGTTTATGAAGGTACACTACTCGCCCAACCTTTAACCGACCCTGACCCGCTACCCTGGATCCACAGCACAAAGCTGACATCGCCGAAGGTTCACTTCGAAGCCTTCTTCTTTGCAGACCCCTGCTTTGGCTTTGCCTTCACAGAGGCTGCGGGAGGGCCTTTGTTCCCGGGCTCACTGTCCTTGAGAGACGGCAGCACTGTCCTCATCATGCAGTGGTGTTCCAAAGCTCACACGACAGGATCCTTGTGCTGCTGCTCTGACAGTCTGAGAGCCAATCTTCTTAACCTTGTTTTCTTCCATCGTCAGCCGGCTCGCCCTGCAGGTTTCTGCGATGTGGCATGTGTGCAGAGGACAGGTAGTGCTGGCCAAGGGGCATCTTGTTCACGGTGTTGATCAGCTTGCTCAGCTTCCTGAGAAGAGTTATAAGGGGATGACATTCACTAGGGGGTCGACCGGTGTGGTTTAGTTTGCTGGGTTCGTGCAGTCGAGTGTCACTGTATCGATCGTTTCATCACAATCATAGGCAGACTTCATGTCGGCAAGCTCGTCGTGCTTTTGGCTAAGCTCAGCGATCCGATTCTGCAGGTTAGCCACTTTCCTCGGATTGTGCAATGCTACTGCTACAGGAAGACTGCATGCAATGAACACGTGCATTTCGCTGCATATCACTTAACACCGGCCAAGTTTCTTTTCAGCACCAGCTTTGCGGCACCGATCCACAAGCTTGCTCGCCCTTTGGTCAAGCTTCAGCATCTCATCCAACATGGTTGGCACCCCATCGATGTCCTGATTTGTTTGTTGTTTTTCGTAGGAATAAGGGATCAGGGTTAAGCGGTTTATAGCACACATAGTGACATCATTTAGGGCCATAGCCTCTTCCAGCTCACCGTCCAGGTTCTCTTTGCTTCTCCTTTTTCCCAGCTTGCCTTGCTTCATCTCGTCACCTTCTTCATCATCTTCGTCATCATTGTCATCGTCATCATCATCAGCATCGTTCTCCACCTCCTCATCAGAGTCCGGGAGCTTCGATTCCAGACCGAGGGGCACCTCACTCACTCGGGCACCATCACACAAGGAGGTGTCTCGGATGAGCTCTTCCTCATCCTTGCTGGCTTTCGTGCCCTCATATGCAATATCGCACCAGTACCATAGCAGCTTCTTCTGGTACTTGTCTTTCCTGAAACAAGAATCTGGGGTTGAGGGATGACTGCTAGCAGATGTCACTTGTAGTGTCACTGCAGAGAGCTGGGGCCGCGTGCTTGACATGGGTTTTCCGATTCTCCTTCTTCATGCAGAACTTTCGGATGGCTTTGCGACGTTGCCTGAGTTCCACACATGCAGACAAGTGTATATTTGTACACACATGTGTGTATATGTCTATATATGTACACGTAGACACAGGGAGACGGTGCATGCATATGAATGACACATACTTTTCTGTCTATATTTGTATATACATGGAGATAGTCACAGGTACCTATATATGTCTGCATATATATATACACACATATAGGATCATATAGGTATATTATATATGTTTACAAGTAGATATATATATATATATGTAAACATATATACACATGTGTATGCAGCACATATCGGTACACATACCATAGACACACCCGTGCACACCTTAAGTGCACACACACACACAGACCCACGAACATAGTTTGCCCCCCCCCCCCGCGTGCACACGATTGCTCGACGACATTAACCAGTATACAGCGAAGGGGCTCGGAGAACTTCAACTCATCGGCCATCCTCCGTGTAAAACCCGGATTTGGTTTTGAACTCGTTGCTTCGGGATTGCCGATAGACGTGGTTGACCTTCTGCAAAAAGGCTTCCTGCGTGTTGGGGGCTTCTGGGGAAAGGTCTCTGCGACATCGAGGTGTTATAGGCTTGTTCTGTTAAGGGCTCCAGTACACATAGAATCGGGTCTAAGATTAGGGAGTTTCGGCTAAACAGTCCTTCTTTCCCTCGCACTGTAGCAAGACCTTCCTGAGTTCTCTCCTTGAGGAACCTCCCTTCTTCCAGAGCTTGTGAACCTGCTCCGGCACCTGGTAGTTGCCTCTGCGATCAGCTTTACAAAGTCGCCGGAGGACCGCCTCCAGCTTTGCTTCCTCGGACTTGGTGAGCTTGGCGAGGGTCTTGCCGCCAGCCTCAGATTTGTATGGGTTTGGCTTCGGAAGGGACAATAAAGCTTCTTCAGACACACACACACACGTGGGACAGACAGCTATACCAGGTCAGGGCTCATTGGCTCTCTTGCGAGCACATGCACGGGCCTTGGGTTTCACATCCTCGTTCTCATCAGAAGAAGCATCATCTTGGGTATCATCAGCGGATAAGTCGGGCTCGGCTTTGGTGTCCTGGCAAATGTGGTACGATAGAGATCCTGTGGTTGCTTTTCTATTCATGGATTTAATGTACTCTAGTTATACTTCAGCGAGGTCGTTCGGACCTTCAGGGGCGTGCCGACATAGTCATCCTTTTCCTCAGAGAACACCAATGCATGCCAGACACAGACTACAAACTGCGAAGTATTGGCCGACCAATGCTTGTGCATGCCATGAATCAGCAGGGTCCCAAGCCTCCTCGCCCGACGAAACCTCCACCAGATTCTTCTGCATAGCATATCGAAGTATCTCGTCCCCACTCTCGGATGACAAGTCAGGTTGAGCTGCTGGAATGGTCAAGACCATTGTCTCAGGAGGCACATCAGACACAGACTCAAAGGTCTCTAGCAGGGACTTCCGTGGCGTCTGTTTGGGCTTGGCGGGAGCCGTAGCAGCCTCGGGGCTAGGCTTTGTGGGACTCGGCTGTGCCTTGGACCCCGATAACTTGGTGCTGGGGCTCGAGGCTCTGCTGGGGCTCGGCTTTGGCTTGGGGCTCGAGGCTCTGCTGGGGCTTGGCTTTGGCTTCGGGCTCGAGGCTCTGCTGCTTGGCTTCGGCTTCGGGGTCGATGCCTTGCCGGGGGTTGGCTTTGGCTCGGAAGGTGTTGGGTCCTTGAGTGGGGTTTCTTTCTGAGTCGACTTGAAGGGTGTCGGTAGCTCGTCGGATGGAAAGCTGGGCTGGGCATCTTCTCCAACATCTCTCACCACTCCAGACGACCTGGCACCCCCAGTCAAGGGAGGGCTTCGGGGAGGCAGCTTCTTGTGCCCATCATCCTTAGCCCCAGCCGAAGCCTTGGCCTTGGCCTTCGACTTTCTCCTTCGAACCTTTTTGCAAGGCTGGTCGTCCTGCTCGTCTTCAGGAAGCTGCTGTTCGTGAGGAGGCGGTGTCACCTGCTCCATGTCGTGAAGCTTCTCGAGGTTCTTCAGCAGCTCCCGGGCTTCCTGCACACATCAGCATACTAGCTTACTTGTACGGTTCTGGACTTTTAAGATGGTATTGAGAACCCTGTAGCACCTCTAGTTGTTGGGCGATCGTCTTGGGTTCTTCTTTCACAGCCATTGAAGGCGGAGAGGCCTTCTCTTTTCTTTTTCCCATGGCAAAACCCCGGCTAAGTCCCTATACTAGATCAAGAAGACTGTAATAGCAGCAGGATGGGCAAGCTCAGAGTGTCACAGTCGATGCACCAAGCGAGTAAAATCTCTTCCAAACGAGCAGAAAAAACTGCCTACGGTGTTTTACGCCACTCCTACGGCTTTTTGCGCCACTCCTACGGCAATTTGCGCCACCGGCTGCAATGTACATTTCGTGCAAATTCTTGTTAAAACTACATATTTTCTAGAAAAAATAGACTTATATAAGGACACCCCAACACAAAGCCACTATAGCTGCAGCCGGGTGCAATCATGCCAGAGCCGGCAGGCTTCATCGATCCAAGCTCATGCCCATCAACGGGCGATCTCCTGGAGAGGCAACTGAAGCTCCTATGGTTGGAGTCAGATCAGGTGCTCCGGGGTGTGAGGGTTTTAACATAGAGTCATATAGAGGGTTAGGTTTAGGGTTAGGGTTAGGGTTAGGGTGTGGGGTTTGGGATCGATCGGATTTGGGCAATAGCTTTTTGGGACGGGGCTCGGCGGGCCGAAAGCGTGGAAAGTTTCTGGTTTCATGTTGCATTTTGGGGCTTCGAGTAGTACTTATACATGGGAACAAAAGGAAGGGTTGGAGATTACTTTTCGGGAGTTTAGTTTGGGGTTTCTAGATTCGAGATTTAAAGTAGCCTACATCTACCTATAGCAAGAAAACTAAGCTAATTTAAATGTAGTTCTTTGTAGATTATATAGACAGATCATATGGAGCAATGATATCGAACCATCGTGTATATTCCAGACATATATCTATATATGCCCCTAAATGTGTATCTGAGAGTGTGTCAGATACCAAAAAGACAGATTTATCCCATATCATCATATCATCCATATTCTATTATCATATAGTAGAATAGGTCCATAGGTCCCTACACAAGCATGTGGTCATACACTGCTTCCACACTACCGAAAGAAGATTAGTGGTGACCCATATTTGCTAGGTCTAGTCTTGCCAAGGTTTATGGGACCTAACTTTGGGGGTGGGTTTCTGGGTCCTGAGGCGAACCATCTGCCCGGTCGCCACCACTTCTGGAAGGTGCCCGTAATGAACATTCTCGCATAAGCCGCAGAAACTGCTTTCGTGTATGGCCTGAGATCTGTACAAGTCAAAAGGCATCCATAAGTGCACATTCGGTTGCCTTTTACAATATGCAGCACTGCACAAGTCAAACTATGTTGCGACCATGAGACCCGGCGTGCCGTTTCTTGGCCGAGGCCTTGATAGAAACCTTCCTCTGCTTCTTCGCCAGGCGGGCTTGCAGGGATCGGTGGAAGATCAGAACAGCCCGGGAGTTGGATAGGATCCTAAGCTTCGTTGGTGTCCTAGTTCCCCAGCAAGCCACCCAGAACCGAACTCGAAAT